GCTGAACCTAAGTGGAGGTTGTTTTGTGTGATTTTAAAACAATCATTATAATGGAATTTAAGATAAAGTGAATTGAACTGTGAAAATTACAAATCAAGTTATCATTACACAAACAATTTACTGAGTTATTGCATTTTAAGATCATCTTTCATAACCTCTAGTGCTATTGTCTCTTTTGGAGTAGCTACTGACAACGTGTCTGAGAACAGAGTCAAGCTCACACTTTTTTAACTGAAACAGTATGTGGAAAAGGTTGCATTCGGTCTGTATTTCTCTAAGTTAATTGTAGTCATATTTTAACAACATGGTTCTCTTCATTCTTCCTTTGCTGAAAACCACACAACAACAAAATAACTTGGGGAATTATTAACAAAGCAATTCATGTTTGATCAAAGAATTTAAGTCATTCTAAAGTTCCAGTGTAATAAATCATGTTCCTGGTCACAAACATTGTCTTGCACAGAGGTTTTTTCTACAGTTATTGGCACAGAAACTGCTTCTGAGTGACAGAATCAATACCCCTTCAGATAAATGTTAGATCATGTATGGAATAGGAATGTGTGAGGATGGGAGAGGTTATTTGTTTTTACTTTTGCTCACTTGCTTTTGTTCTAGAGTTTTTATTTCCAGTTGAGTTTATGTTCTTAATCAAAATCCAGCAAATTCAATCAAGCTATATGCTTAGCTTTCACTATACATAATCTGCATTCTTGTTCCTCTGAATAATCAGTCTTATTTTACCTGAATTTTGGTATGCTTAATTGTAATCTTCACATAATCCTGGAGATCCTGAATGGTTATGTTTCCAATACTGCATGCCACCACAAAACTGGTCAAATTGGCAGGATTTTCTGCATCCTTTGAAAGAGTCATAAAAATATAATAAATGCTTACACAGCACATAACATAAAAGCCAGAGTACACAGTTTTATTTTTGCAGCATGCCAGAATAAACAAGTTGTCAGCATTTCTACACTTTTGATCATGCAATGTAAGAACATTATGTTTATAAAATCAAATTATGGGTTTGTCTCATGGAAGTTTCCTTGTTTTCCTTATCGTCATAAACATATATAGGCACAACTATTGAGAGAGGTTAAGAGGCATAAATTCCCCTTTTAATCCTTATGTCTGATGCCAACAAAATTATAAACCAAACAATGTAGCAGATAACAACCCATGATATGATTAGCTCATTTTCCTAGACAAGAATGAACTAGCTTGCTTTCTTATTGTTGATGCTATCGTTTTTAGTAGATGTAAAGTTTCTGGAGAATAACCTGTTCTCTGTGTATAGTTGCTAAATCATCCTTCATCTTACAAGGAATGACTAAGAAGTAGTAAACAAATTCAGAGCAATTTTTTGTACTGTAGAACATAATATTTTCTACAAGGCTTCATTTGATGGGAATTTAAATTGAAGACTGATGTTGTCACTGAGCAATCCCATTTCTAACCTGCAGTGAAAAAGCATCAGGTTAGGAATTTTTCCAAAAGAGAAGTTTTCCTTGGAAACTGATGATGTACTAAAATGGAAGTGCTTTGGAAATATTATTTTCTTTTGATGAGCTTCCATTGAAACCTGCATAGTTACATGTCTAGCTGGTGTTATGGGAAGTTGGGAAGCTTCGTCACTGCCTGTGGCAGATCTTAGGTCAAATGACGTCTGTCGCCACTCACTTTCCCTTCAAATATTTGGGCTGCCAAACTCCTGTCCCCATCCCAAATTCCTTCAGTCCAGAGGTTTTGTTAGCCTGACAAGATGTCAGGTATCAGCACTGGTTTCATGAGATTCCACCGCTCATGAGAAACACAATAGCTTCGGTTATTAAGTGCACATTATCCTGAGAAGAATATTCCATTTCTTAAAAACCACATCCAAGAGTTTTCAAACACAGTATTTCAGACTATACTGGAGCTTTGTGACACAATTTCCTAAAAACTTAAAAACAGCAGAGGATTGAAAATGCGGTTTTCTAGATAGTTCTTGAGCATTCAAACAAGAGAAAACCGCTTGACTACAACCTAAATTTCAACATCTGACAAAGTCTAGGAAAGCCTTTGGACAGATTTCTATGGGCTTCAGGGAATTCTGTCTCTAGCAGATAACAAAAACTAGAGATATGCATCATATAGTCTCTTTAGGGAAGGCTATTTAATATATTCTTACTTGATCTCAGAAAAGAACAGAAATAATGTATGCATTAAAGTAAAATACAGATAACTGCTTATTTAGCTCTAAGGCTGTGCTCAGCTGAAGTTAGGGGTAAGCTTTTAGCCAATAAAATATAGAAGTACAAAGGAAAGCAATGTTGAGTCTAGCATCAATGATAAAAATCTGGTCTAGTCTTAACAATCATTACAATTCACATATTTATCGTATTTACACATTCTTTTCATGGACTCCGAACTTATGAGGATGATAATTCCAACATAGCTTTAGACAGGTAAACAGAGATGTCTAGAACTGAAGTAGCCATTCTAGCATATCTTAACATAGTGAATGAAAGGAAACTGGCACATCCAGGGCATAATCCACCTTACCTATTCTATGCATCTAGGTCAAATATGGGTTCCCCAAAAACAAGTGTCCATTTTAGAAGCTTTAGGGTATCCTGGCCTGTCTCCAGCTGCTACTGCAGAAGATCACACATCTCTGACAGGTTCATTATCACGTCTGCCAGTCGGTAGCACTTTTGTGCCTTGGTGTGCCTCAAACTGCACTATGCTTCTTTGTCTGGGGAACTGATGCTTATTGTGTCATTCCTCAACAGTGTCCATTCTTTTGCACCGACTGGCTTTGAGGACAACTTATGGACAACAGTTCAAGAATAGGTATGTACATTGAACACACCTTCCTTTGGTGAAATGAATCCCACTCTGAATAGCTAACATCAGTTTTTCATATAGTCTTTCAAGTATTGTAACCATCAGGTTTTAATGAATGACAAATTAAAACTTACTAGCATTCTCTCAGTTGCAATTAAAAAAACCCCTCCAGTGCTGTACAGTATGATGTTTCATTGTTATGTTAAATTCTTACAAGAAATACAGCTAATAGCTTTGGGACTTTTTTAATTTGCAATTGGAATACGTATGTTTATGAAATACTTTCATACTAATGGATAGTTATTGGGTTTGAGATTGTATGTGGATCAATTTATTATTAGGCTTTATTTTTAGCCTTTTTTTTTAAGACTTACTTTATTTTTAGACTTACTAAAATGTGAGTTTTACACTTTTTAAATTAAATGTGTTGACCATATCACCCACCAATAATTTGAAAAAACACCAAAAAAAGGAAGGAATTTTAGTTGCAAATTTAGATGCAGATTTTATTTTTTTGCTTTCCAATGACTTATTAAGTATGCATTAGAAACACATTCTAGCACCATTAAAGGACACATTCTGACTGTATATGATTTAATGCCACTATGACAAGTCTACATCTGTATTCTTCTGTTTTCCTTATTAAGTGTATCCATCTTTGTTTTCTCAAAAGTGAGCTTAAAATGAATACTATTTTAAATAGTTAAAGATACTTCAGGGTGTATTTCAGAAGGCAACTGAGGGTCATGGGTATTTTCTTGCCTAGATTATCTGAAGAATCTGGATACACTGCCAATAAAAACAATAATATAGGGACAATACAATACTACCGAGTTCTGCGGATGCACAGGAGCTAAAGGTCACTTGAAATACTAATGGGAAAACAAACTCAAGTCTTCTGAGGCTCAGTCTACAGTTCACTATGAAACAATGTTTTCTTCTTAATTAACTCCTTTTTTTTTTTTTAATAGGTGTGTTTTCGGTTGGGTTTTTTTGGTCCAAGCTGTGAACTCTTCCTAAATTTTTTGGCACCCACCACTCAGGAACTATTTATAATTACCATGTGATGGGACCCAAAGGAGAAGAAGTCAAATCTACCTGAGTCTCCTTGGTTTTCAGGTACAAGTATTGTTATCCTTATTGCATATTAAAATATGGTATGCTTATGAGAACACACATATGAAAGGAAGAATAGCATGTGTAGAAACAAATGTTCTCTAGCTGATGATCATCAGCCCAGAGTTTCCAATTGAATATAAGTAGTCATCTGAATATGAGTGTCAACCAACTCAGAAGATGCCCTATAAGATTCCTTGCTACTTTACTCTGATTAAAAGCAGCTGAGATACACTTTTGAATAGATTACCCTGAGAAAAAGTTTCTCTCACATGTGACAGGAATTTGGAGTCAAATCACTGACTTGAATTCAACTTGGACACTTCAACTATTTTGTCACTCTGAACATAACACTGTCTCTAGCGCCTACATTTGCTCTCACCTTCCTATTCCTATAACTCATGAGATGCTGTGAAATGATTACACTACAGAAAACTTTCTGCAGCTGGCTTTGACTCATCCTAACTGAAATGACTTTAAACAAATTAAAGTTTACCTGAAAAAGACCATTTTTATTGAAGAAAGTAAACTGAGCCCTGGATATAACTTCAAACTCATCTTGACTTAAATTCTTCAGTAAACTTGGTGGCAGAACAACAGAAGCGAAGCCATTTGTCTGATCCTTGTCAAAATCTATCTGTTAAATAAAAACAACAGAAGAACATGTTCAAACAAAGAACTCAAACCATACATTATCCACAACTGGGTTCACACCCTTACACTAAGATATCTAAACATGGGACTAGAACAAATCAGCACTAATATGACTTGTACCTGTGTAAGAGTTGGTGCAATAAATACATTTTTAAAAGGTCTAGAGAGGTTTTCCTACCCTTCCAGCATGAGATCAACACAAAAAAGGTATTAGATAAAAGAAACAAACCAACAAACTCCTCCTCTGCTATAAAGATGATTTGGGAATAATAAGATGGCAATCATGGCAGTCATAACAATATTCAGTAACTTTCAAGATACCTTCCTCATACCAAACAATGTTAAGAACTGAAAAATATGTTTTGAATCCTTCTTTCTTAAATTGTATTATCTGGCTTGATCTGCACATCCGAATTAATTCTCTATGAGCTTTTCTAGTTTCTCTGTTACAAAGGGAGATTTAAAAAGAATGATTAGTGCTATGTAGCACTATATTTATCTGTATTTATTGTGATATGTAGTACAAAAAAAGACACTTTCTGCCATCAATATAAGCTTAATCTATGCTGGCAACATGTCAGACAGCTGAAAGCCCTCTATGGCACAGGGATGTAACAAGCGGGCAGGATATAAATGAGGATGCAAACGTGCATTTCATTAGCTAGCAGGCAGCAATTCTATGACTGCATGCTTTCCCACCATGGCATACTCAATGTGTGCCACCCTACCCATCAAAGGAAGAGGAGCAAACCATCTCACTGTGTCTCTATAGCAAAAATGTTTCAGAATTTCACTGAGAGATAAGGAAACTCACACTTCTGAACTCTCCAGAGGCAACTTAGTCATCTGTTTATGCCTCTCATGATCAGTTTTATGACTCTAAAAGCACCATTAGCTAATAAAAGCCATAGGCTACTGATAGATTTATTTAACTTTTAAATTTTCACTGATTTACTGAGAATAACAAGCACCCTTAAAAATCAGTAAGAAGTGGTTCATAAGATATAATTTCACCTTGACAGGGTGAAATACAGTTGAATAAAAGGTTTTGAAAGGAGAATTCTGCCACATTAAACAGAAAGTATGTATATGATAAAGATGTCCTATTAAGCACTGTCTGCAAAAAGAATGGAAGAGGCTTCTATAAAGAAATATGGATATATTACAGGAACAATTTAATAATATGAATCACCAAAGGCTAACTTAGTCAAAGGTTTGGCAAGAAACATAAAGACACAGGGAACTGAAATAGAATCTTTCCAAATTGCCATGGATACATTTCCTTGATATCTACTTTAAGAAAAAAAAAAAAAAAGAAATAAAATCTGGAAACATTCTGACATACAGCTTGAAGAGTTTAATGCTCCCTGATGAGCCTGGGCTAGATCATCACATCACTGGTGAAAAACCTGGGCTTTCACAAGGGAATCTCCCTCCAGCAGGGATTGCAAGTATCTTTCCTGATAGGCATGGAAAATATAAATGGTGACCACAGCTGCTGCAGACTTTTCTGGCAGGAAGGATGTTAAGAATTCTCATTCAGCTGTTGGAAATGTGAAAGTCTGAGAACAAACTTATGTTCCAATAGGAATATTATAAATAATTTGATGGAGCTTGGATTTTATGATTGTTTAGACAGTGGTGTTATAAATGATTCCAGGGCAAGAAAATTCCTGGATGTCCTCAAGCCACAGATGGTAATTCTTACTATACATGCGAATATCCCAAACCTGGCCTCACAATTTTTCCTTTCCTCTTTCCATAAATACATGATGAAATCTGGAGGAGAAATGTTCCTTTGATAACAAAGAAAAATCAGCTATTGAGCTTCATTAATAAGAAAGTTAAGCAAAAGCAGATTTACAATCGCAACAAATTTCTAATAAAATTGATTCAAAGACATTTTAGCCAAAATATCTGTGAATATAAATATGTGACAACTCACTTAAACTAAATCCATTTGTATCTATTTAAACCAGCATTTGAGTTTTGATCCAAAGTCTATATACAAAGCAAGTAAAAGGCCTGCAGTCTATTATATTGCTAGTACTTTTTCTAGCACTGCCTTCATTACTGTTTTTTATTTTTACAGTACACAGTACTTTATAAAATGATCAGACATTTATTAGGATTGTTGTCTTGCCAATTTGCAGTAGAAATTAATTTGGTTCCATAAGATGCCTATAGTCTAGTGATTAGTTTTTAACCATTTTCATAATGCCATGTTTTGTTTGAATTCAGTTTTGGTTCCTCTGGCCCAAATGACAGTAGGTTTTTAAATTTTTTCTGCTTAATCTTTTCTGTGTGTTTCTATAAGTAAGAGTCACTGTATTTGAATGGTTAGGCTTCCAGGAGACTACATTTCCTCTGTCGTAGACTTCTTACATAACTGTGAAAAAAATACATTGCACTATGCTTTTAAAAAGCATTTAGGTGCCATAACAGGCAGATAGGTATATAGTGAAATTTAAGTAAGTCTTGGCACCTCGTTGCTATGCTACTGATTTCAACAGAACCTTTGGAAAATCGCAATTGGTACTAATGTGCATCTCAAATGCTGTTTTTCATAGGTTTTAGATCTCTGAGCTTTTCTATTTGTGAAAAAAAGGAAGAAAAATATTTTTGAGGTGATGACAACTATCTTAACTATAGCAGCCTGTCTAGATACTGTAGCACTGGAGACCATTCTACATTTTGAGTGTTTCTTTTATTTTTTTATGTCTAGGCTGGTCAAGCTCCATGTTAATGTCTTGAAATGCCTCAGACATCCCAGATGGCACAAGAGTTTCAACCTACACGTGGACAACTGGATCAGCCTCAAGTCTCTGTTAGCAGTAGGTGTTTAAACTATACTGGAATGTTGAAGCCTATTATATCTGCAGAAATCTATATGTATATACCTACGTTTAGGTGTCTTATTCTAAAGCTTAAATGCCTCAGTGGAGTTGTTAGCTAATGTACAATGGGTAATACGGCAGACTGTTAAAGATTACTTTCCCTTTTTAGTAGTTAAAAAAAACCCACAAACAAAAAAAACCCATCAAACCCAAAAAAACCTAAAATGGATAAAGTCTGTTGTGGATTTTTAAGCAAATTACTTTTCATGACTTCATTACTTTTCATAAACATGTGAGTTTATCTGGGTTTCCTGTCACTCTAGGAAATACTACATTAATCTGTTTGGATGATTGCAGGAAAAAGGAAATACAAAATAGGGAGAGAACTGGGAGTTGTAAGTGGTTTTATAGGAAACACTGTAAACACACTTGGAACAACACGGTCAAATACAACTGCTTCTTCTGTACCTGGAAATCAGATGCATTATTCTGTGGACTGACACTGAAAGAACCACCTCTGAATGAAGTTGAGTTTATAGAAGACACTCCAAGTGCAAGGTTTCGTGTTGAGATACTCATGGATGGTCCAGTGAACTGGATCTTTAAAGCCAAGGCATCAATAGTTTTTAGAGCTCTAAAAACAGAAACAAAATTATTCTAAAAACTGAATACAGAAAAAAAAATACTATGCTCTGTATGTTCTCCACGTTTAAGATGATCCTCTTATTATTGACTATGTTTCTTTTACTCATCTGTGTATTCATAAGGAGACTGTCAGGCTGTACATTTATGCAACTATTTTGATTGACAGAAACTATCTGACTACATATCACTGGTTCTGAAACAATTTTCCAACAATACTTAGATCTATGCTGTGCCATGTATCAGAAGACTTCGTTTCCATTCAAATACTTTATCTTTGTCATGCACATTCATTTTAGTACAAGAAGAAATATTTGTATATCTAATTAGGAAAATTCTTTTTGATGAAAATTAGAAAAGCTTGATTTTCATACTGCAATTGTTTGTCTACATATACATAAGGATGAATCCTTCCAACCTTGCAGGTTGCTCTCAAAAACTTGTCTTAAATGCAGAAATACTTACTCTGAAGATGATGCTGCCAGTACACTGTCTGAACTGGTTAGAATATTGGAAAAAATTGTCACCACAGTAGAACCCAGAGATTCATCAATTTCTTCATCATTCACAATTTTTTTGAGCTTTTGCACAACATCATTTACTTTGTCTGAGGTTAGCTGCTGCCCTTCACCAGTGAGATTCAGAAGCTGATTAGCTATATCAGCTGCATTTTCTGTAAGCATACATGTAAAACGAAGTAAAAATAAAAAATAATGCATATCAATTCTGAATTAAATCAGAAATACAAACTTTTATCCTCATTGTTGAAAGTTAGAGCATGTTCTGCCGTACTTGTAATGAACACAGGATTTTATCATTTTATCAAATTTGTAATTTTATGAAAAAGTATATAGAACCTGCTGATTATTATATACTGTCTTCATTGGCTGTGTCTTTCTTTTCCTTAATTTGATCTGAGTTTGTAAATCAGAACTACTATTGAAAGGGCTGATTGGAAGAAAAAAAAATAGGGGAAGTAAGGAATAAGAAGCATTTTTCTCCTTATGCTATCCCTTCTTTTTCACTGGGAAAACCAGTTTCACTTTTGAAGTAAAACATGCATCCAAAGTCAGCATTATGGACAAAGTATTGACTCTTTTAAGCTTTGGGGAGAAAGTCTGACCCCATTGCAAATGTCTCAGTTCCTCCAGAGGATTGCACTCCTGCTCAGAGAGTTGACAAGCACAACACATGAGCACATTTAATGAGAAGAGTCTTCCTGGTAAGAAAAGTTTGATAGTGTGTCCAATGGCAAAACATTAGTGTAAATCACAAGTTAAGCTGTAAATTTGGTGTCACATGGATAGAAAACTAATGTAAATACTAACATTTTATAATATCAAAATATCTGAGATTTGTTGGAATTTGCAAATAAGATTCTAGAAGAAGATCAGCCTTCTTTAGTCTGCAACTGGCTGTGGTTTTTTAATGTGTTTTATAATACAACTTTTGGTACATTTACTATGGAATGTTTACTTTATATCAAACAATGTTTTCATATAGCCTGACTGCAAGTACTCAATCAACTAATTAAAGTAGCCAGGCTCCCTAGGACCCCCCTATCAGTGGAGAGAGAAAAAGAGGCTTCTCCAGAAAGCAGTTCAGAACAGGAGCTTACTGTAGGTGCTCTGAATTACTTATGAGAGTATCATCTTCTTCACTAGTTCTGGCACTAAAAAAGGCACCATAAAATTGTTGTCTATTTATTTTATTACTCCTTTAAGGCCAGAATGACATAAAGGGGTATTTTGCACACTGAGAATAAATCTGAAAATGTCTGATCGTAAGCCCAGTGAATAGAGTGAGAGTCTTTCCACTGGCACTTACAGGCATTGGAAACAGTTAAAAATTTGTCTGAACCTGAATATCAAATTGAGGCAAGCTACCACCATCTCTATTCTTGCTTAAATTACCTGAAGAGTTTGATTTATTTAATTAACTGGTATTCAGAGCTTTTCATGGGTGGGCTGAATTAAACTTGGTGCACTTCCCCAGAGTTTAAATATTTACTTTGCACTGATTTTTCAGAAAGATTTTAAACAACTTAGCATAAAGAAGGAAGATATTCTTCCTTAATATAACTTCCTATATAGAAAGCAGTAGCCAAAGTCTACAAAACTATTCCTTTAGCCAAAGACCAACACCAATATACACACCTGTGCAATTTCTAAGATCAGGCTGGCCCCAGTATGATGTATAATTCTGCAGACCCAAATAGCTAAAGAGGAAAAATGACAAAATTCACATGAAATACAATAGCAAAATTATGTAAATTATGATTCTTTTGTAGGTGTCAAAGTGGTCCATTCTTCTCAAGTCACAGTTTTCTTAGCAATATGGCCCCTAGTGAAATGAAATATATATGCTACACAGTGGAAATATATGATCAATTAAGTGCTGAGAGAAACCTTAGTTCTTTTGGACAAATTCCCAGTTGGTTCCTATACTGATTTGATAAACTGCATCAGTAGAAATTCTGGCCTTGTATTTCAGGAAAGACCCAAATGTTGACACAAACTATCATGCCCCTATTATGGCCTAATCAGATGCTGTTTCTGTAATTTCCCTTTGATATAAACAGCTTTGACCAAATCAATAGCAAGCCATACTACCTCTCAGAAGAACAAGCACAGGACCTACGTGGAGATATAAGCTTATGCCACCCATGAAAACTAGGGCAGGTCATCATCAGACTCAAGTCCAACATACAGGGCACATATAAAGATTTTTTTTTTCAAAATGCTTTTTAAAAAAAGCCTTACAACAGTAAAATACCTAGATATGGCTCCAAAATTAAACACGCTTTAACATGGCATGGCAAGGCAAAGACATGATGGATAATGGGAAGAAGTTATCCTTTCACTTTGCACATGATAGAATAAAGTTACTCCTCAGTTCATCATCTTTATTATAATGCACACTAGTAGGTAAACTTCTACTGTGGGATGCATAGGACTAGAAGAGACCATTAGAAGAGCTTCCTCTTCTCTCAAAACACATCCCACCAGTGCTCCATATTGGCAAAAACTAATGGAGGCAGAGGCAAGTAAAGCACAGTATAGCACAGTGCAAAACACAGCAACTTTTTATGAGAAGTGCTGTACACAGACAATCAGTGGTATTGTGTAGGCCACAAATGAACAATAAAGATAATACTGCCAGAGGCCTTAATTTTCAATAATTCTGAGGCTCTGACACAAAAAGCAATTTGACTTCTGCACTACTCACTCTACAACAAAAGTCGGTCATTCAGAATCCAGGAGTTCTTGTACAAGATTAAGAGGCTGAGGAAGTGAATTAGTTAAATATAATGCTGGTCGATTTCCTGTTTGGCACAGAACCTCAAAGCTGATTCATATCTGTGTTGCCATATTGTTTTCAAAAAGTAAAAGATCTGGTCTTCTCAGAACATGTTTCAAATGCAATGTGGGCGGATAAGACTACTGTATTGCATTTAGTGGTGATCACTCTAAATACTGAAGAAATTAATTAATATTGCATCATCATGGCCATGTTCAAGGCACTCAAATGAGATCAAAGCCATATTGTTTTGGTTATATATCAAAGGAAGTAATAATATTCCTATTTTATAAATGGGAAATACAGATACAGATACAGTAATCTTTTGTAGATGTTCACAGAGAAAGCCTAAATTAGGGAAAATTTATCCTAAACCAAAAAACCCACAATTTTAAATCTTTAAGTATAAGATTATCCCCACCTTCACTTATGATTGACTAGTGGCAAAATGCTTGTTTCACATAAATTCTTCTACTTTCCCTTAATGAGATGAGAGGTTCTGGATTAAACCAAATACACATCTCATCTTCACAGAATTTTGTTGAGAATTTCCTATACAAGTTAGATAGCAAATGTGAAACTTTGGTTTCAGTAACATAAACATCATGACTTGAAGAAAGCAGTTTCATTCTGTAAGAAGGTGCTATTTTTAAAGTCACTTTGAACATGTATTAATTTTGGGCATCCGTATGCTCTCCAGAAGTGACAGATGAGCTTTTTTTTCCTTGCCAGTGAAGTGCATACTCTTACTTCACACATATAATCTCTCACACTACAGAAATCATCTTCCTGAAATACAATACCAGCCAATGGCAATCATTATGGAAGATGCAGTTTAACTATATAACCAGCATTTGATCCTCTCAGCGTCTCAGATATTTGAACACCTACCAGGTTCTTGATGCAGTCTGAACTGAGCTCCCGTGGCAAAATGTGAAGTTGGTCACAGTTGGTCTGGTATCTGGCCAAAAATAGTTTGGAGGGTTTTCTTCAGCTAAACATTTTTCTGTAAAAATAAACGTATATCATTGTTAATGATAATTTTCTTCATCTAATCATCTTCCATTTCTTGTCCCCTGCTCATCAACCAGTTTACAGCACAAAGCTGTCTTTAAATTAAATGTTTGGTTGTTATCTATAGAGTAGTGGCAATGGAAAGTTGCACAGCAGAGGACAACATATACTGAATGGAAAAGATGAGAGCTAAAAGGAGTTTGATTAAGCGCAGCAGCTGGCAGGAGCAAAAACAACAGGGTTGAGGAGTGGGCATGAGAGGCCTTGGAGAACTAAAATGTCTTGTTATGGCTCTGGCTGTAAATTGTGCTTCTTTATCCTCAAACTATCAGAGGAGCTGTCAGGAACTGTCCCATCCTCTTTGCATCAGACGGCAAAACACTTGACTAAAGCAATCTGGACAACTGAGTTTGTGTTAAAAGACATATCTTGAGCACAGAGATTAGTGGAACAATGAGGCTTAAAGGGACAATTTAAAATCTGAAACTGTCATATCATTTGGAAATGTAAGATTGTTTTAACACAGAAGATGCTTATTTATGGGCAAGCAAACAAAATCTGTTGTGTAACAAAGCCAAAATGTACTCACCCACTGGATCAACATCCACAGTATGAAGCTTATAACCTCCTTCCATGGTCCCATTATTATTTATGAGCTTCTGTCGGATCTCTTCCTCTTCTAAATTGATGTTGTTGGTAGAATTATAAACCAGAAGAGCCAAAACTTCAAAACTGCAAGGAAAATTACCCGAGTGTTTGAGTCAGAACAGCAGAGGCCAAATGTGTGGAAATAAAAATATTTGACAAATTCTAGTTTTCTGAATATGAAGCAGTGTCACCAAGACAATGCTGCTCATTATCTGTAAATTATTATTTTTGTATGTACAGGGCCATGACAAGAAAGTATGGTTGGGAAATTTCATCCTCTAGCTACCATTAAAGAAGCACCTCATCAAAAGAGAAATGTTTTCAGAAGATTTTCATTATTTTAAGATATTTTAAAATGAGAGCATAAAGTTGTGAGCTGTGACTTCTAAATGGGCCCTAATTAAATTTAAAAATCTGTTTGCTGATGGCTTAGAAACTTAAGAGCTGCTTCATCCCACTTTACAAAACTTGTCAGGATGGGACAAGTCACTCTCCAGAGGGTCTATCTCTTCACTGACTACAGAGGAAGACTAGAAGATTAAAAAAGAACAGATGCCTAACGTTTCAATGTCTAAATTTTGATGGAGTGAAAAACACCCTAACACGCTTCCGAAACTTTTAGTCCTAGTTAGGAAAGTCTAGCTGCTCAGATGAGTAATTCACGTTTGAGCAGTAATAGCAGTTTTGTACTGTAGCCCACTGCTACTTTCTTGGGCATAAGAAGTAGTTCAAAGTGCCTAAGTCTCTTTCCTGTGAGAGAAATAAAACAGTCCCCACCCTTGTCCAAAAACATAGCTTTTCTGGCAGGGAAATAATGAACAGAAAAGCAGTTCTAGTAGGACACAGAAAAGAAGCCCGGAGTGGAAGGCTCAAAAATTTCCTCCTGGGACATAGAAAACACATGTTGGAGAAGAGAATATGTTGGTACCCAAGAGCATTGCTTGGCTCTGTCCAGTAGGAGGTGACGCCACTGAAACATGGAACATTGGATCTCCACAGGAGCCAAAATGTGGAAAAAAGGAAAAAGCAAGTCTGGGTTGTCTTCATCTTAGCCTTGCCCTTGGACACCCAGCAGCCTGAATAAAGATAGCCCTTCGTGATGTGTGTAAGCAGTTCCTGGCAGCCTGGGAAGCGGCAGCACTGCCAGCACACATGCAGTGAGCAGGGCACACACAGAGCTGCTTTCTCCAGTGGCTCCCAGAGCAAGGAAGCAGCAGTGAGCTAAAGAGTCTTGCAGTCTACTTGAAGAAGAGTAGGAGAAAAAAAATCTGTAGAGGCACTGTATAGGAGAGGGCTAGTGAAGTTTTCAGGTACCCCTTCCTTGACAGATCATGACTTCATTTCCAAAAATCTTCCAGAAAGACATTCCCATGATTACAGCTCAGAGTTGCACTTTCCAGAGGTGCCTAGTCTGGTATAGTATAAAACTTAGTGTACAGATGTTGCTCTTAGATGGCAAATTTAACCCTCTTTCTGCCAGAAATAATTCTGAAAACTGAATAGCTCCAACCAATACGTACTCAGTGGAATGGCATTAAAAGAGCTGGCATTACAAAACAAAGCCCAAATCTCATAAAGAAATCACAAATGTGAACTAAATACTCCACACATTTCACTGTTGCAGATGTAAAGACATAAGTAAATAAATATACACAGTTCTGGTTGGAGGTTTTTTTGTAGTTTTTTTTGTTGAATGTAGTACATTTTTCTTTTTTCTTGCCATATCCACTGTTTTACTAGTAACATCTTGCTGGAGAAAAAGATAAAAATGTGACTACCTGCTGGCTTGGCTTGCTTTTTCCCCAGTGGATGTATTTTAGCAGAGAAATACCAGCTATCCCTGGCCAGATCACTCCTGCCCTGCTCCCTGGGATACTGAGTTCCTCCTAATACTTCTCTGGTCTCTGTGGAGTGTTTAATATATGGCAACAGCTTCAGCAGGGTGGATGTGCATTAGTAGGCTTTTGCTGTATACCACAGATACATTACAAATTTATTATGGTATTTATTTTTAGCAGAAGCATGGAAATTACCTAAGGCACTGCCAAGTCCTTCAGCCCTCCAGTACTTGAGCCCCAGAGTCTCCTGGCACTTAACCATCTTTCCTAAAAGATTCTGGCTCCACTCATCGATTCTCTTTACTTCAGAAGAGGAAAACTTAATATACTGATGCCACTCCCTACCTCAGCACTTTGGCTGCAAAACAGAAGTCATAAGTGAACAGTCACTGCTACTGCTATGCTGCCTATGCAGGACTCCCAGCTAATCAAAATGATATTTAGTACTTATAACTGTGTGGAGAGATAATGGCAAAAAAGCAGAAGGGATAATGATAGATGAGGTAGAGCTGGTTACAGTTATCTTAAACAATTACAGAGATAAGTATTGATTGTGAAGCACTGATAAAAATAATCACAGAATCACAGAATATTAGGAG